AACACGTAATGAAGTTTTATAAACGACATTTTAGTTACGAGTTTAATTAAGCACGAGCAAAGCTTGCGAGCGAGTATTTGATACAAAAGAGTGTATAAACAAGTTGCATACTATAGATACTATCTACGACGAACACAAAACAGAAATTAAAGGCAATTGTATTAATTAAAAAATCATGTCAAGACAAAAACAATAACTTCGTTATTTCTGGTAATTTTTAAAAAAGTAAGTTTTACATCTAAATATTCACCTATGTTTGTTTTTATCCAATTTGATTTGATTTTTTTCGCCCACTAGATTTTGAGTTACCACCGACATCTTTTGTTTTTTCTATGACCGTCATATTGGAATTGTACATGGTTAAATTTAAAAACAACAGTGAATTCAACGGTGCACAGTGGGCAAAAATCTGAAAAGCCTGGATTTGGAAAAAAAATTTAAATTAACTCCGTAATTTAAAATTTTATCCAAATTCAGGCTTTTCGGATTATAATTAGGCATCTTCGGTAAAATTTTCTAAAAACAAAATGGCGGACAATTTAGTAAAAATTGACCCCGATTTATACAAAATTTGGTATTATTTGTGGTCAAAATTAAGTATTGCATTTATTTATTAGTTAAACAAATGACAAGCGCAATTATTCTGTTATCTAATGTTTACAAATCCAGTAGAGTTTGGTTATTATAATTTTTTTACTATGTTAGGGTTATAATGATTATTGTGTTAGTTTATTCTGTGTGTCTAGTGTTTAATATTGGTCACGTTTGGGTTTGCCTTACGCATTTGTTGTTGACAGATTTATTGTCCTACGCAGTGTGCCTTTCTTAGGGTTTTAAAGATATCTGTCGTGTTTAATTTGCAGATGCTTAAGGTTACTTATCAATTTTTTGCGTATGGCCACCTCTTGTTTGACCCCCTTTATTTGTCTAGTGAAAAGCGTCCAATGACAGGTGGCACCTAACTCATTCATCACTTAACACTTCACTCCTAATTGATAAGGAGTTAAATCTTTCTTGGGGAATTGTATTTCTTAGGTAGTTCTTTACCCTTTTTAGAGTAGAGAAAGATCGTTCACTACTTGCATTTGAAACCATTATAAAAAAAATTCGCAGACAAATATTAATATTCGGAAATGAAGATATTAATTTATTTTCGTATAAAACTTATACTAATTCCAATGGAGTTTCTATTTTTATTTCCGAAAGGGAGTTACCAGTTTCTCATCCAAATTCTCCACTATGCTTTTAGATTAAACAAAAATTTCTAGCTATCATATCGACAAATGATTTCGGATTATAGATTGTCAATTATTAAAATAAAACATATTGTTCGCATTGTTTCTTTTTTGCTTAAACTTGCCTCTGAATTATTTTCTTCAAATTGTAATTTTCTTATGATTATCCGCTTCTGAGCATAATTTTCGTTTCCTGTTAATTTCCTCGTAATGATCAAAATGATTACGTAAAAAATCAAAGTTCTCAACTAAAAATGACAAAAGATGCTTTATTGGTTTCATTAACCCTTTGCAAAACGTCTATCCAAAAAGTTAAAATTATCCCGTTTCCAATAAATCAAGTTTTTCTGATGGAGAAGCTGCTTCAACTCTAACAACATTTTTCTCATTTGTATCCGTTGTATCCGCCGCAGTGTCGCAATAATTTTTTTTCTAAATTCTAACGATTAAGTACTTTTTTAAAAAATTATGGGCGGTACGCGGTACCGCCCCAAAAATATTTACCGCCCGGTGCTATAGTCCCCAAAAAACCCCTGTTAAACCGGCACTGCTTTTACGTTTTAAGAGCTCTCGCTCTCGCGTGGTGCCTTCTCAAGTGCTGGAACCTGACTGATAATTTTTAATATAATTCCTTATCCTTGGAAAAACTGCTAAAAATATAAATTCAAATTATTACGCATAGTTTAGTATTTAGTTCATAAAAAAAATTATTCTAGGTAGGTAGGTACATAGTTTAGTATTATTTAGCCAAACGCTTCCAGTAATGGTTAGAATCCAATAGATAACCGCTTTTTGACAGCATTCCAAAATTATTTTTTATCAACCGCTAACCGACCAAAATACTTGCTTGCTATTAATAAACTTGTCAATTTCTAATGTCTGTGACTTTGGCAAAAAGCGTGGGGCGCTTTTTGGTTAGGTTTCTTTAATAATTCATTTCGACAGAGCGCCCTACGCTTCTTGGGAGTCATTGACATTAAAAAGTAAATTAATATTTACTTCTTAACTTCATTTAATTGTGTCAATTCAAGTATTTTAAAAATGTTATATTATTACCTTATATATTCGTTTATAAATCACATTATTTATATTATTCACCCAAATGATAAGGCGTTTTAAATTAATTAATAAAGTGAGCTCAAAAAATCCTAAAAATGCTTTTTTAAACTAAGTATTTATTTAATGGCTTATAGAACAAAAGTTATGAATGTAATTTATGCGTCCTTAAAAAATATGAAATAATGTTTAACAATTTACTCATTTATTTTGCAATAATCAAAAAGCAATAATTAATGTTCGCTTTAATACATATAACACGAAAACGTTATTCAAGAAGGCTTTGTACCTAAAAACATATTTGAATTGAAGCTGAATTGGCTTGCAAAAGATATTTGCCAAACTTCCCAAAAGGAAACCCAGTAGGTTTGCCAAGCCTTTTATGATATTTAATTAAGAATAAATTATTTAATTGAACATGTTATACCTTAAAGCAATCTCTTTGAATTTAAATTCTATAGAGGACTTGATCTTGGATAAATATTTATAAGATTAAAAGACATTTTTGGATTTTTTAAAACACATTTTAAACAGTTGTATATAAGATAATTTATAAATAATGGTGTACTTAAAATAACTTTCTTTATCACGTGTGCCATTTTGGGGACACCCTGTATAATAGCATTTGGTCAATTATTATAAAAATTGTATATTTTTTTACTAAAAATTACCATAAAACATTTTAATTATCGAACAAACTGTTAATCAATATTTGGATTAAAAACCATTTTGAGCTTTGTCCATGGATTATTTCTGTCAGTTTTTAATTTATTTGCTGACAAAAAAGGTAATTGATTAAAAAAATACCAAATTGGATCGTACAAATATAGCGACTTTATGATTTTCAAATATCCCGAAATCCCAAAAGTACATTGCGCCAATTATTTTGTTTTTTATTTCTGAAGAGGTCATGTATAAAATTTTAAAATCGTATTATCAAGGATTTTTAGGGTATAATTGGTTGAATAAACAAGAAGCTTTGTAAATACCAAAGATACGGCAAGAAGGTATAAAAATTTGTTTTCAAAAATTTGCCTGAATTTTAATTACCTACTTAGGATTTTATTTTCTTATCCTACTAAACATGACAGAGTTCCTGCATTTTATATAATCAGAAAAATGCATACACAAGTATAACTTTGGTAATTGACCAAACTTAATATTTAATGACCACTTTGCAAAAAATTCTATTTAAAGCTCTGCATGTTTTTAGTTATTTTTGTAACAAGTACCTAAAATTTGGTTTTTTGGGAATAATCGTAGCAAAAAAAAACCTAATTTTTTCTACTCCCACCCTTAAAACGCCCATTATAGTACATGTTTTCACCGTAAAAAACTGCTTCTACCTATATCATTTACAAGGGTGGTAACACTATAATAGTCCATTTTCAAGGGATAAATTTTGATTTACACATACAAATTTGACATTTTAATTGGCGCGCCGATAATACAGATTCCCAAGTTAGACATAGTTACGCGTGTTACTCTATTTTTGTATAGATGTCGCTCTATACAAAGTATATGCCGTTAAAAAGTATACCTTTACTTTTTATATACTATTCTACACGGAATAAAATACATTTCTATATCCAAAAATAGTTCTATACTAATAATTTTATAATGGACCCAATAATATATTATTTATTAAAGTATTTGCTTAATGTTAATTTTCAACTATTTTAATATTAATTTTTTTAAGAATTTTTTATTTAAACAAAGAATAATTTTTTTTTTATTAAATTGATTGATTATTTTTGAATTAAGTGAAAATGTTTTCTCTTCTGAAATCTATAAAATCTACAAAAAAACAGGTTGTACAAAAAAAAATTTCGGTTACTGAATTATTATTTATAAAATACCAAAAAATATTAACAATTAAATTATAACTAATTTATCGTCTATAATGTCTGAAAAATTCTTCAAAATGTCCCCCTTTAACTTCGAAACACTTTTACACTCTTTTTCTAAATAAATTTCGTACACTTAATAAATAAATTAAAATTATTTCATTTTTGTTCGCCTCAATACAGGGGTGATTTAAATAAAAAATACATTAGAAAAAAATAATTTAATAAATCATAATTCCGTAAGCGAAAGCGCATTTTTTTTGCACACCTACATACCTAGATTTTTACATAGATTCGATTTTTTTAAAAGTACATCATCGCTATTAAAAATCCAAAGTTACCCCTCGCCCCTCAAAATAGGGAGGTAGATGTAGAAATATTTTTAAATATGTAGGGGGCACCTCTCTATTGGTTTATCAAAATTTTACAAAATAATTTTGAACCGTTTTCGAAATATCCGGTAAAACTTAACCGGTAGAAGAATCAATTGAGAAAAAGAACATATTTTAATATTGTTTTTAGCGTAAAACTTGGCTGATGTAAATTGAATACTTTAGGGTATTAATAAAAAAAAAATTTACAAAACACATTTAAAATGCCTTTAAGGCATTACGTTTTTAATTTAGCCTTACAAGTCTTATTTCTTTTAGATATGAAAATAATTTTTGTTAAAAATTGAGAATTTCTTATGACTCTAATTTAAATAATTAAAACACCGCATTACAAGTTAAATATATAGTACTTAATGTAAAAATCAATTCAACTTTGTTTTTATTACTACTAGGAGAAGTTCAAGATTTCAGGGCGCATGCCCTGAAAAATTTGAATCCTCACATGGGAAGCGGAAATTTCAGCATATTTCAGTGCGCTACCGCATCTACCTGCAAACACAACGCTTCAGCTCTCAGCTGAAATATTGCTGAAAATATTTCGCGAGTTTTAAAACTACCAAAGTTTAGGTATACATTTAAGGTAATTTATTTAATATTAAAAATAAATAAATGTTTTTTAATTAAATTTGCAGCCTAATGTTTGTAATAAATATTATGTTTCAATAATAAATATATTTTATAATTAAAATATTAAATAAATGTATTTCAAACACAAGTTTATTTATATACACGGTTTTATTATTTAAATTATTTGATTGTATACATTTCCAATTTATTTAATTTAAAAAAGCGTTTTATTAAAAGCAAAACTGTGTGTAATTAAACCTTTTGTTAAAATTTAAAATTAGAGAATTTTGTTTTTAATTTATGCTACGTAAATATTATTTTAAACAAAAATAAAACGTTTTTTGTTTAAACTTGGAAACAAAAATATTTTTTTACAAAAATATTTAAAAGAAAGTTTGTTTTTATACTTATAATTCCCTCAATTTATTGCGATTTTATTATAAACTGATCATTAAATTAATCTTTGTGTTCCAAACATAAATAACTTCTTTTTTGAAGTATATTTCCCAACAATTTGACAATAATAAAATAAAAAGTATCTCACAATGCAGTTGAAAAGTTTTCTGTTACATTAAGCTTGTGTCGTTCAAAAGTTTTCGGTGAACTTTGAGAATGGTTATACATTTTGAATTTACTTTATGTTTAATAGAAAACAATTTATTTTAGTTTATCCCGGGGTGATATTAAAAAAGTTTAGAGTACCTGAATGATTTTTTGTATACAAAAAGATTCAAAAGTTACATGGTCTCTGGTTTCTGCCTTTCAGGCATTTTCTTCTTGTGATGAAATACACTTTATGTATTCTTGTTTATTTTACGAAAATATGTCATAAATTAATATATACTAACATATGTTTGTTTACTTGTATTATAACAGTTTTTAGTTTATAACTTAATTAATTTAATGAAGCAATTATATGGAAGTAAAACTATAGTTTTACTCATATAACATATAATTGCTACAACTATATATATAGTTGCTAACCATCCTAAATGCTCTAATAGGTATACTTCATACTGTGGTTAGTAATTTAACTTTCTAATGAATAAACTTATTTAATTTAAAACCGTAATATAATCTTTTTTTAATGAGGTATAATATACAGGGTGCTTTACATAAATATTAGGCTGGTTCTTATTTTACCGGTGTCGGTATTTTAATCGTGCCGCCCCCTCATTTGTTTTAAAAACATAAAAAACGCATGCCAAATTTCAATGTCCTAACTTATTTTCTTCTATTGCCTGTAACATAGAGAAGTTTTTTAAATAGACGATTTTTGCCTTTAAGTATTAATTTTTTAAAATTACTTATAATCTGTGTAGTTTTTTTTTAATTTGGATCGATTATTACTTATAGTTTTACTTATAGGGACTTTTACTTTATAACGTATAAAAATTAAAATCTAATAATTAATAAAATTTTTTAATTTTTAAAGAAAATGAAGGGGAAGGGAGGTATTAAAAAAAAGACCTCATGTATGTATAATTGGCATTGTCCATCCAAAGGTCTTATTACTCTTATTCTTATTTCATTAAAAATGGTATACAAATCATATCAGTAATTATTTGCATTTATTATTAATATTAGCAAATAATTTTAGGGTTCCTAAAAGATATTTGGGTAGCACCAACATTAGAAAAGTACAAAATTACAATTATGTAAATAATGAAATTGGTTTTTAGATTATTTTCAAACAATTTATTTTTTAAGAAAGTGACAATGACAGAAACAGCAAACAAAATAAACCCCAAATAATTAGGTTTTCGGTATTGTTAACAAGTCATTTTTTTGCCTCGGAAAATGCTTTTCAAAACTCTGATACAAGTTATGCAACAAATTGTTAGAAGCCTTAATATACCATAAGAATCTAAAATTATTTACTTTTCAAGACATTCCAATTATGCAATAAATGCAAATCATCACAGATATCTTGGTTTTTATTCCATTTTCAATGAAACAATAATAATTATTATTGTTTCATTGAAAATGGAATAAAAACCAACTATTATAATAGTAGTAATTTAGCAAAGTAAAAACGGCTTTAGGATGGAAATACACAAATTCTTTTTTTTTGTTGTTTAAAAGTAACTTATTTTCCCTTCATTTCCTTAAAAAATTAGCATTTATTACGTTAAAAAGCAAAAATAAGGAAAATTGCAAAAAATAATTTAAAAGTAACATGTCCTCTACATTTTCTCAAAAAATTATACCTTTCCATAGATTAATAGTAATTTTTAAAAATTAATACATCAAAGGCAAAAATCCTTTATCTGGAAATTTTCTCGTTGTGACAGGCAATAAAAGGAAATAAGTTAGGTCATTCAAATTTGGCATAATTTTTTTTTATATTTAATAAAAATAACTGAGGGGGCGGCACGATTAAAATACCGACATAGGTAAAATAAGAACCAGCCTAATAAATATACACCGGGGGTGTTTCTTAGAATTTGCCTTTACTGATTTGAAAATGATTTCTATAGAAAGTAATAGATCATTTTATAAGTAAGTTATTAGTAAATTTTTAAAGTTAACATAATATAATATCTAGTTTTTAAATATATTTTAAAAATAAAATTTAAATACTCAGGACACCATGCAAATATTTGTATTTTATTATTAAAATGTATCGAAAAAATCATTAACAAAATGAAATAATATTTAAATTTCCTAATAGAATTTTTGGTAATTATTATTATTATAGCCAGTAAATAATATTCTATGTTCTATAATATTATAATTTTATTTTAGGGTAGATTCTTCACATTTATTTATATTACCAAAATAAAATAGTATAAATCTTTACACTCAATTAAAACAACAATGCTTTTTCGAATTTTGATGTATACTTTTCAAAAAATGGCGAATGCGCCGGGATTAGTGTATAAATATACATAGTACCTACTGGTCAATAGCCATTTCGCTTCAAGCTAAACATTATTTTTTTCAGGGTAATTTGAGAGCATGCTAAACCCAAAAATATTCATCATTTTGCTTAATTAATTCTAATTTTTGCGATATTGTGAAAAGAACGGGTTTTAAATTCGTATATTATTTATTTTTCTACTCGCGCCGGCAGCAAACTAGTATTTGCTGATACATCATTAATAATTTAAGGTGAAGTACCCATAAAAACATACTCATCACTTTCACTCGAAAAAACTGCTTCCTTATCGTATTTAAACGGTTGTTAGTCCATTTTGAAAAATAAAAGTTAGTTTTAAGTAAGTTGACAGTTGGCAAATGTCATACAATCGTTAAAATAAAGTGCCTTTCTTGTAAAATAATACTTAATAATAAAATTATTTTATTATCTCAATACAAAATAATTTCTCAACGCCAATATTTGAAGTTTAAATGCACATTGTACTGACTTTATCATTTCGCCGGCAGTAAAGTAGATTTAACTAATTAACCATTAAAAATTTGAAAAACTGCTTCTATATCGGATTTTACCGGTGGTTAGTCTATTTTCGATTTACACACAAAAATGTGACTTTTTGTCCGGCGCGCCGGTAATACAGATTCCCAAGTTACTAACCTGAAGTTAAATAGTTACTCTAATATTTTATAGATGTCTCTCTATATACATATTTAATTTAAATAATTGACAAGCTGTGAGTTAGTTGACAGCTGTCAAATGTCATACAATCATCAAATTAAAGCGGCTATAATGATCATTAATAAGTAAGGTTAGAACCGACAGATGTCAGACATTATTTATTACATTATTTATTTAGGTATTTTAAAAATTATGTAATTTTTGTGTTAGACGCAGTAAAAGTTAAATTTGCAGTTTGTTTTATGAATTTCTCCAGATACTCGTTTATCAAACGCTTGTGCCTAATTAAAACTGGTTTAGTTTTTTTTAAATTTTAGATTTTTAAAGAAAACAATTTTATAAATGTTTATATTTTTTTCAGATAAACCTTTGTTAAAATTTGTATTCATCTGGAATAAACAACTAAAATTGCAAATTTTTTGTATTAAAACTTTGTAATTAAAAGTTTTTATTACATTTTTTTTAGTTTATTGAATAATAATTCTTTTATACTAACGTCTTTTAAAAATGTTATATAAATTTCAAAAGAAAATAGATTTTTAATTTGTATTAAAATATTGTATTAAAAATATTGAATTTAAATATTTACGCCAAGATTTTTTCAGTCATTATACAGGGTGTTTCAAAAATGATGTTTTAAAAATAAAAAAGTATGATTAGCAATTTTGATTAGCATTTGTCAACCAAGAGCGATCCATAATAGTATATTAAAGAACTAATGTAATAAGACGTAATTTTGTCGCACGCGGACAATTTATAAAACGAGAGACGAAGGAGCGAGTTTTGTAATGGACGAGTGCGACAAAGGTCTTATGACATGAGTTCTTTATGCTATTATATTTATTTTGCAAAAATTCTATAAAAAAAAATAATTTTATACCTTAAATTTAATTTGGTCACATTTTACTTTAGATAGTTGGTATCACAGTCATTGGTTTGACAGTTAATGTCAAAATCGATTCGCCATGCCGTCCTTAATTTACTTATTTACAATAAGCGGTTAAAGAAGAAGGATTTTCTTTGGTATTAAACAAAATTTATTGCCAGAAAAGTCTCGTAAGTACTAGTAAAATCATAAAAATATTATTATTTTGAGTGGGATAAAATATCTCATTAAAGCACCGAAAGCGGTGTTATAATGAAGTCATTATGAACGCAAAATAGATAAAAATAGTTTTAAGATTTAAAATTTAAAATGTTTAATTCTTAAAAACTAAAGTTAGAAAAAAGTTCAAATGGACTCCATTTTCGCCAATTTATTTTCTTGCGGAACAATAACGTGATTTGGGTTACGACCATAAACAATTAGTTCCTGCAAACAAATGGCGTAGTTTTAAAAATTTTGCGAGTTGGCGCTGGTAAACACCTCGTGACTTGAAAGTCACGTTGCAAAGTGGCTGGTGAGGGGAGCACAAAACAACGAAAATTTCAATGGAAAACGATGGTGACGCAGC